TCAGCTACTCTTAACTTTTCATCTATTTCGTACAGTTTTGTATCATCTTCATCCTTTCCTTCCGCAATTTTAATTGCTAATTCACTTTTCATTTCATTTAGTCTGTTTGTGTCTTCTCTACTTCTATCTAATGCTTCTTCAAGTACATCTGGACTTAAATTTGACAAATCTTTTCCGTTTAATTCTTCACTTGCTACTTTTCTTTTTAAATCTTCATTCTTAACAATCTCAGATAATACTTTAGAATCAATTGGTAAATATCCTGTTGCATTTTTTGATAATGATTGCACTAAATTTTCTGCTTCTGCTCCATACACACCTAAATTATTTAACGTTTGTATCATTTCTGGTTCGGAATAAACTATATCTCCTGCAGTCTGAACTTCAATATCAGGTAAATTATGACCTATTCTTCCATCAACTGCTCCTTGTGCTGCTGCATCTCTCTCATCATTACTTAAATCTTCTATTGTTTCTTTTGCATTTCTTGCATTTTCCTCATTTGTAGTCTCCATTAAATCTCCTGATGGTACATCTAAAAATACATTTGTGCTGTTTTTATCTGGTGTAATATTCATATCATTGGGTGTTGTATCATTTGGATCTAATACATTACCATTATTTGCTGCATTTCTAACCTTATCAAACATTTCATCTGTTATATTATCATCATTAACAACATCAACATTTGTATCTTCTAATTTATAATTTTCATCACTAGGACCTGGTTGTTGTTCATCTAAAGCATCTTGTTTATCATGTTCCTTTAAATGCTCATGTAACTTCTCTTCCTTACTATCAACATTTTTATTATTTCTCTGTTCTTGTTTAGCAATGTCTCCCAAAATATGTTCAGCAAATGAAATATCCCTAGGGTCTACTACTCCTGAATTTCCAGTAATAAAATCTTCACTTAATATTTCTTTAATACTTAAAATAACTTTTAATAACATTGTATTTATATTGATACACCATTATTTTTATTTTATAGTTTAAAACAAAACCGTTTGAAATAAGTTTCAGATTATTATCTTTGTTTCTTTTAACAAACAAATTATTTAATTTTATAAAATTTATGTTTTTTTATTTTAATGATAAATCGAAACAAATATAGAGAATTAAAGAGGTGTATTCTTAATGAAAAGTATCCAATTATTTTACACGGTCCATCCAAAACAGGTAAAACAACGAATATAGTTCAAATTCTTAACAATAATCAAGTATCATTCCAGTTTATTGATTTACAATCAATTAGATTTCTTAATGCACCACTTAAAAAGGTTATT